GGTGATTAATTTATATCGGAAGCATATCTTGGGGGAAAAAGGCATTCGAGCCAGAAAAGTGCTCATTCAGGAAATTTTTTTTTTTTTTTCGACGATTCTTAAATCGAAGTGGTTTTTGATTTTTCGTTGGCCTTTTCTTCGTTTTAAGCTTCGATTCGCATTAACGTTGAGCAAGGCAATTACTATTTTAAAGGAGCGATCTTATCGCAAAATGGCATTTGTTCGCTCCACTTCCTTAATCGTTATCCTCCCTTAGCACGCTTCTGGGCTTTAGTGCAACCCTTGCATATGTATATTTCTGAGGTTATCGATATATTCCTTAACACGAACCACGATTCACTATGAAAAAAAAAAAAAAAAAAAAAAAAGAATAACCTACTCGGCAAATAGAATTTCAGAATAAAAAACAATTTTCTTCAAACACCTTTTGTCTGATTGTGAGAACCTCTTTAAAACTTTTTTTTATTATACATTGAATTAAATTTTATTTAATATAAACAAATTTAAAAAATTTTTATATAAAAAATTAATATATATATTTAATTTTCTTATTAATTTCTCAAAATGTATAAAATTATTTCAATTGTGATTTTCTTATTTAAATACAATAGAAAAAACAAAGAAGGAAAGTAGAAAAATTACCTTTTCTATATGAAAAACAATATCTCTCTCACAGATGGAATCCCTCGAGGCGTTGAAAACGCATTCAATTTGCAAGATAAATAAGTAAAGATTTATGAACATCGTGTACTTACTTTATTTTATGTTTATGAAAACTATCTGCAGTAATGTTTTTGTAAACAGCTTTCAAAACAAAATGAAATTTCACCTCTTTAACATGCATGCAAACGTAATTTCATGTTAATACACTGTCTTTGCAATTTTTTTTTTTCCTCACTCTTCCAACAAATTAATTTTATTTTATAGCTTTTAATAACCTTAAAGAATCAAGTTAGATAAAACTTCATTATTTCATAGAACTAAAGGGGAAAATAATCTTAATTGTATATTGGTTTTATAGAGGAAAAAAAAAAAAATTTCATAAACCAAAATTAGATTTTAACGATAACTATGTCAAATTTTTGTTTTAACTCAAAAATGAGTAAAAATGCAAAAAAAAAGAGAGGTAAAAATAAAATTAAAATGCATGATTTGAATTAAGTTACTTAGAAAGTCAAGAAAACTAATTTACTTTAAACAATCTCAGTAGAATGAAACTTATTAATTTTAACAATGAGAACAATTTTTCATTAGAATATGCTGAAAGTAACTTCGTTCTAGTTTTCATATTCCACTTGAAATATCACAGTTCTGATGCAACCCATATTTCTTTTTTAACAGATTAGATACTTTTTTCTTCATTTTATTTATCATTTCATTTAAATTAAAATATTTTCATTATAGTAGTCTCAAAAATTATAATATATTAATAAGTTTTTGAAAATATTAAAATAAAAAAATTGTTTGTTAAATTTATTCAACAATTAAAATTTTTAGCTGTGTTAAACAAAATTTCTCGAGATCCTTTCATTGTAAAATTTAATAAACATTATTTATTTAAACATACTAATTATTAAATTAATTATTTGTCCGGTGTAAATTATAAATAATATTCATATTAATGTAATTAAGATAATAATTATATAAATTATTATTCCCTCACAGCACCAGATATCCTAGGATATTCCAAAAACATCCCTTGGATATCCTAGGGATACCCCAAGGATATCCTAAGGATACTTTAAGGATATCCAAAGTAGCGGCGGTTAGGATATCTTAGGGATATCTAAGGATGTCCCTAGGACGTCCCATGGATATCCTAATCATTTCCCCGGATATTATTAGGATATCCTCAGGACGTCCTAAGGATATCCCAAGGATATCCCTGGAATAATTAGGGATGTCCTTAGGACGTCCTAAGGATATCCACAGTATGTCTATATTATCTTAAGGGTTAGAATATCCTTGAGTCGTTCCAAAAATGTCCCTAAGGTATCCATAAAACGACCCTAACATACAAATTAATTAAATAAAAATGGAAAACATATTTTTTGGATGTATTTATAATATGTATTTCCAAGATATCTAACCTGATTTACCTTGTCTACAAGAATTCTTTTTTCTACTTTTTCTTTAAAAAATCTCTTGAAACCAACTTAAGCGCTATTTGTATCAAAAAATAGCTATCTCAAATAGTCAAAATTTGAATCATAATGATATCCTAGGGAGATCTTAGCGATATTTCTAAAATATTTTAACGATATACCAAGTTTATCCCAAGAATATCCCCGCGATATCACTAGGATATCCCTGGAATATCCCAGGGATATCCCTAGAATATCCTCAGGATATCCCTAAAATATCCTCAGGATATCCCAGGATATCCCAAAAATATCCTACGTAACGGCGGTTTGGATGTTCTGAGGATATCCTCAGGATATCCCTAAAATATCCTCAGGATATCCCAGGATATCCTCAGTATATCCCCAGGATATCCTCAGTATATCCCCAGGATATCCCAAAAATATCCTACGTAACGGCGGTTTGGATGTTCTGAGGATATTCTCAGGATATCCTTTTGTTGTGAGGGTTATAATTAATAAAATAATTTATTATTATTATTATAATTAAAATATTGATAAAAATTTATAATATTTATAACATTTTACTTAAATTAATTAAATTATTAAATATAATGAGAATAAAAATTAAATAATATATATAATTTTTGTTTTTTTTTTCATTTCTTAACTCCCAAAGAATACGGTACTGAAATTTCCTTATGTAACGCCATCCACCATTGTGGAGGAGATTCAAACTAAATCATTTTGAAGGATCCGTCGTTGTGAAAAAGGTCATTGTGGAGAATTGACTGTAATTTCTGATTGGTTAATTTTAAAATTCGCACCGAAATTTTTCATTTCGCTGTTTGTTAGGTAATTTACAATTTTTGACTGAAATTCGGCGTTTTAAAAAATTTATCAAATAATAATTCGTGCTAATAAAAATTATGACAAATAAAGATTCGATAAATTAAAAATTTAGAATTAAAATTCTGTTGAATAAGAATTTTGCTAAATTAATATATGCTGTTAAAATTAGAAATTTTTAAATAAAAAATTGGAAAATGGAAATAAAAGTGAGAATGAAAATGGATTTACATAATCAATCCCCTGGGTGTAAAAGGATTAAATGAGTAAAATAAATGATGATAAGCTAAAAAAATTATTTACCATCGACAAATATCAGTAAATTATTATTATTATTATCAATTAAATGATTTACTAAATGTAATTTTTTTTCCCATTACTCAAATTGTAAGCGTAAGGATTAAAATTGAAATAAATCATTTTTTTCTACACTAAAACTGAGTTATAAATATTTCCATAGATTTGCAGTGAATTCATTTCATGCGTATAATCCGACACTCATGTTGTTACTGAAGAGGTTTGAAATCCGTAATTGCTTTTTAAAGTAGCTTACGATTCTTTGTTAACTCGGAAGCGAGCCAAAGTGATTAAATGTAATTGCAGAGTTTGCAAATTAAGTAGAATAAAAGTTTTCCTTTTCGTGACACGATTTCTCGTTTGAAAAATTATACAATTGCAGAAATTCATATACATATATATACGAAAAGTCATGCAAAGATCTTGTGAAAAGTTAGCGCTTTTTTATTATTATTTACACTCGTCAAAGCGTAAAGATAAACACAGTAAAAGAAAATATATTTCTATATTTATTTTAAAAAACTAGTTCAAAAAAAAAAAAAAATAAAATAAAGATAAATTCACAAGGACAATTTACTTCCTAGTGAAAGTTTTTAAAAAAGTAAACTTGATTCTACAATGTGATGCTGATATTATCTTGAAAAAACTTTGCTGAAAGGTTTTGTAAAAATTTATTTCTTCCGTTGTATAGTAACACACGTAGACTTAAAGCTTTAAGTGAAATCTGTAATTTACGTAGCGAAACGGAAACCACGAGTCACTTCATGAGAAAAAGTAAAGGAACATTCGGACGAAAAGTTTGGAAAAGCTTTTCAGGTTTAGAAATGAATTTAGCAAGCCAAATGAGGGCCCCTCCCCCCCCCACCTTCTGGTTGGAATAAAAAAAAATTCAACAAAGAAAATAGGGATGAGAATGGAGAAAATGAATTGAAAAACAAGAAGAAAACTTATTTAATATAGTTTTTTTTCCTTTTCTTCAAATATCGCCGGTAATTTTACGTTCAATAGACAAATTAATTTAAAAAAAAAAAAATAGGCCTTTAATATTTAAAGACATATGTATGTAATTATTTTCAATCAGCAAAAGTAGACTCGATATAAAGCAAAAAAATTTATTATGCTTCGCTAGCTATTAATATTAATCTGACGTTACTTTACAGACTGTGATATATATATATATATATATATATCTACTAGTGGTCAGATAAAAAAAAATTCTATTAATAATTTCAAAACTCGATTCCAAAATTAATGTAGATTTGCTTAGCAAACCATTCAGACTGAACTTTAAGTTTTCTCATCAAATGAATTGAAGATTAAAACAGAGTTCTCGCCAAATCTTGGCTCACGTAAGCCAACATTAAAGGAATCTTGTATTCAGCTTGCATCTCATCCAATATATAATTTTAGAGACTCTTTATAGGGCACTACTCTACCTTATGATATTAAATTATACTTTAAAACATATTCTATAGAATTTGTCGTAATTCCAATTATTAATACCTTTAAAAAAAAAATTTAATTTACTTTTAAAATATAATAACTGATATTTTATGTTATTTAATTTTTATTTTGTAGAAATTTCTAAATTTATTTTATTTATTTTATGAAAAATATGGTACGTAAAAATTAATTTCTTGCGCAATTATATGCGGGTTAATCTCCCTAAAGAGAAGAGAGTGCCTCCTGATTTAATGAACATCGAGCCTTGACTCTTCAAAAAAAAAAAAAAGGAAAAAAATATTAAAGAAACTTTCTGATTTCTTCTTACAGATAATCAGCTATGATTCTACGAGGGGTGGCGTTTCCGTAGTGACGGAGAAAGGTGACAGCACCACGAGCTTCCTATTGGTGCAACGAGCCAAACCGTCAGACTCAGGTCGATATACATGTAATCCAAGTAATGCTCAACCCAAGTCGATCACCGTTCACGTACTCAATGGTGAGGAACTTCTTTTTCAAGAGCAATTTATTTTTCAAACTATTTTGAAAATTATTTTTTTTTAAATTTTTTTCTTTCAACTTAAATTAATTACTGTTTTTTATTTTTAATTTCAATTAAAATAGAAAATGACGTGTGTAATTCAAAATGGCGAACGAATTATGAATTTAACTTTACTTTATTAAACTCTTACTTCACTTCACTTTCACATCACTTTTGGATAACCTCACTTTCACTTCACTTTTACTTCACTTTCACTTCACTTTCACTTCACTTTCACTTCACTTTCACTTCACTTTCACTTCACTTTCACTTCACTTTTAGTTAACCTTTATTTAACTACACTCACCTTTCACTTCACATTACTTTTACTCCACTTTCACTTCACTTTCACATCACTTTTAGTTAATCTTACTCTAACTACACTCAACTTTCACTCCACTTTACTTTTACTCTACTTTCACTTCACTATCACATCACTTTTAGTTAATCTTACTCTAACTACACTCAACTTTCACTCCACTTTACTTTTACTCTACTTTCACTTCACTATCACATCACTTTTAGTTAACCTTTCTTTAACTAGATTTAACTTTCACTTCCCTTTCACTACACTTTTACTTAACCACTTTTTTAATACATTAAACTTTTACTTCCCTTTACTTTTGCTCTACTTTCACTTCACTTTCACATCACTTTTAGTTAACCTTTCTTTAACAAGATTTAACTTTCACTTCACTTTCATTTACTCAACTTTTACTTCACCTTCACTACACTTTTACCTAACCTCACTTTAAATACATTAAACTTTCACTTCACTTTACTTTTACTCTTCTTTCACATCACTTTTAGTTAACCCTTCTTTAACTAGATTTAACTTTCACTTCACTTTCACGACACTTTTACTTAACCACATTTTAAATACATTAAACTTTCACTTCACTTTCACATCACTTTTAGTTAATCTTATTTAACTACACTCAACTTTCACTTCACTTTACTTTTACTCTACTTTCACTTCACTTTCACATCACTTTTAGTTAACCTTTCTTTAACTAGACTTAACTTTCACTTCATTTTCATATACTCAACTTTTACTTCACTTTCACTACTCTTTTACTTAACCTCACTTTAAATATATTAAACTTTCACTTCACTTTACTTTTACTCTACTTTCACTTCATTTCTACTTACTTTCACATCACTTTTAGTTAACCCTTCTTTAACTAGATTTAGCTATTACTTTACTTTACTTTTACTTAATTTTAACTTCACTTTCACATCAATTTTACTTATCCTCACTTTAAGTACATTAAACTTTCACTTTACTTTACTTTTACTCTCTTTTACTTCACTTTTAGTTAACCCTTCTTTATCTAGATTTAACTTTCACTTCACTTTCACTACACTTTTACTTATCCACATTTTTAATACATTAAACTTTCACTTCACTTTAGTTTTACTCTACTTTCACATCACTTTTAGTTAACCTTTCTTTAACTAGATTTAACTTTTACTTCACTTTCATTTATTCAACTTTGACTTCACTTTCAATACACTTTTACTTAACCTCACTTTAAATACATTAAACTTTCACTTCACTTTACTTTTACTCTACTTTCACTTCATTTCTACTTACTTTCACATCACTTTTAGTTAACCCTTCTTTAACTAGATTTAGCTAGTACTTCACTTTACTTTTACTCAAGTTTCACTTCACTTTCACATCACTTTTACTTAACCTTACTTTAAATACGAAAAACTTTCAATTTTAACTGTACTTTTACTCTACTTTCACTTCATTTTCACATCACTTTTACTTAACTTCAATTTAAATACATTAAACCTTTACTTTACGTTACTTTTACTTTCTTTCACTTCACTTTCACATCACTTTTAGTTAACCTTTCTTTAACTACGTTCAACTTTCACATCAATTTTACTTAACCCTACTTCAACTACACTTAACTTTTACTTCACTTTCACTTCACTCTCGTGTTATTTTTATTTATTTCACTTTCACGTCTCTTTCACTTTCACGTTAATAATTAAAGGTAAAGTTAAAATGAAGTATATTTAATGAAAATTGAAAATATAACGGTAGGAAAATAAAGTGTGATATCAAATGAAAGGGTCGTGAATGTAATGTGAAATTAAAGTGAGGTTAAGTAAAATTGATGTGAAAGTGATGTGAAAGTGAAATGAAAGTTGGATGAAATTGCAGAATAGCTACACAGGTGGTAGTTGGCTTTTGCGCAAAGCCATGTTCAACACAAAAATATTCCATAGTAATGGAAATATGCAGTATTATTTAAATTTAAACCAATGGAATTATGCAGCACGAGGGCCTATTTGAATATAATATAAAAAAAGGGCCAAACCACCTGTGGCGGACAATCTAAAATCTGCCGGTTATCTTACTACGTGATTATAAAACAATGACGTCCACTATAATAATATTAATTACTATACTAAAGACAAAAAAGAAAATTTAAAAAGTTATTTGAACATTATTATCTCGTACTAGTTGAACAAAATTTGCAAATCAAAATATCACTCGATAATCAATTTGAAATTCATTTTAATTATATTGCCTAAACTCAACTAAATTTATTTAATATTCACTAATTGCGTCTAAATATTTTTGCCTCTTTCAATAAAAAAAAAATTTTTGTTTTTTTTTTGAACATAGTAATTTTGTATAAAAAATTGAAAATTCTTGTAATTGAGATTTTCAGTAAAAAATAAAAAAAAAATATTTTCTGCGGAAAACTTAAGTGTCATCCCTTGTTTCAGGAGAGTATCCTGCGGCAATGCAACACGGTGGTCAAGCCAAACAACCAAGGCTCTACTCACTTCTCCTCTGTCTATGTCTACTTCTTTACTAATCGATCCTCGATCACATCAATCTATATCGAGTTATCACGAGTCATCCTCAAACGAGAAGAGCCACGTTTTTTATACTAAATTCGATTTTACACCAAAATACAATCATTGCGAGGCTTTTAAAAATCAGTTTATATTATTATTATTATTTTTATTTCATTTTTCTTCCATAAGGGGAAGATGAACAAAAAAAAAAAAAAAAAAAAAAAACTTGAAGTGAAAATAAGATGAAATATATTAGAATGTGCACGAAGAGGCCCTTTAGCAAAAGATTTATTTCTTGCATTGAAAACACAATTGCAAGCTCGAATCTTATATAAACTGCCGTTAAGTCACTGTCATGAGCAGCCGTGAGCTATACGTATATATGTATATATATATACATATAGAAATGGACTCTTGTCGTCATATTCAATTCACAATGGCTATTGTCAGTGTTGTACCTTGATCATGAGAAATTCCTCGGGAAATTCCAAATTCCAAACCTATGATTTACACCTAGATGCCAACGCGCCTTTGTCATTCAACTATGTCAGTGTGAATCGAGCTTTAGTCTCCCTTTGATGTGATCAACTGTGTATCCAAGTGATCTATGATTTAATGTCACAATATCCTCATATCCTTCGGCAATTCGATAACTCAGATTCTCTTATCATCAAAATTTACATATATTGAACAAATTATTTATTTTGATAATAGAAAATTAAAGAAAAAATATATTTTTATTTTTTGACAAAGATACATTAAAATCAACTTAAAAAAACTTGAAACAAAATTTTATCTTTCACATTGAAATACAAAAATTATTTGAATATACAAATTATTAAAAATACTATTTACATTGAAAAAAAAATTATTTGATTCAAATACTCGATTACTTGACTATTATCAAATAAATATTTACTTGAACCAAATAATTTTTATTTGAATTAAATAAATTGTATTTGAATCAATAATTTCTGTATTTGAAACAAATACCATCTCAAATAATAATTATTTGATACAAATAAATATTTATTTTATAATAGTCAAGTAATCGATTATTTGAATCAAATAATTTTTTTTTTCAATGCAATAAATTAAAATTGCTGTATTAAATAATTTTTAATTGCATCAAATAAACAAATATTTCAGTGAAATTAATAAATTGATTTTTTTAAAAAAAAACTTATTTTATTTAAAAATATAATTTATTATATTCAATTAGTTATTTGATTTAATTAAAATTTATTTAGTTTTAATAAATGTAATTCACATAATTCAAGTGTATTTCAATATTTTTTTTCTTAGTGCAATTTTTCTCAAAATTCTCCGTTAATTCATTTTCATAAACTTCAAAACTTGACTATTCATTTCATGTTCATTTTCCATTAGAAATTTGAATTTCCAATTTTAGCTTCAATTTAAACTAAAGTTTAAATTGCCAAAATTTGAAACATAAATTTGTATTGAAATCTGTATAACTCCCATAAGCATTAATTAATTTTTTTTTTTTTTTAAATATTCACGTAATGTTTATCCGCATTGCAATATATATTGTAATACGAAAATTTATCTATGATTGTAAATTTATCTAAAAATTATTTTTAATTCGTAAAATAATTGACAATCAATAATTAACGAGCATCCAATTGATTCTATTCCCCTGGGACATACTATATTGAGATGATAAATTATCAGTGTGTTTTAAAATTTTTTATTTATATATTGGCAAATATTGACTAAATTATGCAATATAATTATTTTTATAATTAAATAATTTGCAAATAATTTTTTTTTTGATATTTCACATTTAAGTTTGAATAAATTTTAATTGGGACTATAAAATTAAATATTATAATTGTTTTTAAACTAAAAAAAAAACACAATATTAATGCATAAAAAAATTGTTATGTCTGTTTGAAAATTTCATGTTATCTTATTTCTCAGATTTCAATGTTGATGGTTTAATAAAAACGTTGAAATAGCTTCATGTGAACGATTTTAGAATATAGGAAATCTCATGCAGACAAAATATACCCGCGGACAATTTGTAATATGAAATGCATATCGTGTCGATTTCAAATGCAAATATTGCTTCCGGAAAATCCCCCTTTGCTGTCACTATTAACGTCTATTGCTATTTATAGTAAAAAATAAAAATAAAAAAAATCTTGCATTACAAAAAAAAGGAAATATTCAAATTCAGAATTAATTTTTTTTTTCAATTCGAAACTAATTCATTTTAGTTATTATTATTTCGTCATAAATACAAATTAAAATTTCATATCTCAATTTAAATTAACGTGCAACAAAAATTTTAAATTTTAATTACTATTTTTTTTTTTTCTAAAAAATTTTTACTTCATAAGTGAATTATCTCGGAAAAATAATAATCCCGAATCATTAAATATGACAGAAGTTATTTCAAAAAGTAAGTTGCACTATACCTATATATATAAAGAAGGATTATCAAGGAATTGTAAACTTTTTTAAGCGGATTTACTATACGCGACTCATATATATTGAAAATATTTTTCTCGTCGACTTTATCCATATATAGATAATGGAAGAAAAACGATAATTATAAAAATCAATGAGAATAATTTATTATTCAAGAAAAATGCTAGATTTAGCGACTATATATATGATCTTTTGGCTATATATGCGATGAGATAAAAAGTACTGCCACACAATCGAGAGTAAAACTCTTATAAAGGATTATAAAAATTTTGCAACGTAGCAAACTTTATTGATTTTGATAGTTTTTTTTTTTAAATTGATTTTCAAAAAAAAACAGCTGACCTCATTAAAACACAATTTCTCAAAGATGCGAAAAAATATTTTAATATATTATCGACTTAAAAAAACATGATATATTCGACATTATAAAATGAAAATTCACTAAATTTTGTTTACAGTTAACTAATTTATGCACGTTTTTTTATTTATAATCTCTTATTATATAATATATGTGCCATTCCATGAGGTTTTTTTTATCACTTTTTCAGAGTAACCTTTCCAAATTAAATGAAAAAAAAATTTTTTATAATATTTATTAATAAGGGTCCAAAATAATCCCTTTTTAAGTAAAAAAAAATTGTTTATTTAAAAAATACAACAATAAATAATGAAAAAAAAACACGCTTTTTTTCTGCACCTCCAAATAAATTGGTTTAAAGATCAAAATTTTCCTTATTTTTCAAGCTTTAATAGCGCACAAGAAAAATGAGGTAATTCGAAATAGTTAACTCACAATTTATTAAACAATGTTTGTTTTCTTTTTTGTATTTTATTTATTGTGAAACGTCTGCTATCGCTGCGCGCGACGTTCGGAAGTTGTCGCCCTCAGAGTTGCCAATGACCCTACCTAAACGCTACTGCGCTTGCGCTACGACAACTCTCTTATAGGTCGAAAAAAGCGCGCTTATATAAAATGCTTAATAAGAAAACTTTAAGGGTATGTCCAACATGTGAAATGTAAACAAACATAAAATGTAAACAAACCATGCACATTTTTTCGCAGTTCTCATTTGCGTAGAAAATAAAAATTTGTCGTTTTCTTTATGAAAATGGTAAATTAATGTATTAAAGTTGGTTACTATACTTTATTTAACTAATTATATGAAAAAATAAGTACAATTATAATGAAATGAAAAGTGCACTGAATTAGCGATTTTTTGAAGGTTTCGAAAAAAAAACCATTTGAGTATATCTGAGGCACGGACGTTGAGCGCCTAGGTGGGAGAAGAATGTTGAGCCATTGGACGGTCACATCTTGGAAAGGGTAAAATTCTGAAATTTTACCCCTTCTCTCACTTTCTCCCACCTAGGTCCTCAACGTCCGTGCCTCAGATATACTCGAATGCTTAAATTTTTCGTAACCTTGAAAAAATTCATATTTCAGTGTACTTTTTATTTCATTATAATTATACTTATTTGTTCACATAATTAGTTCAATAAAGTATAGTTACCTAGTCTAATATATAAATTTACCATTTTCACAAAGAAAACGAAAAATTTTTATTTTCTACCCAAATGAGAAGTGCGAAAAAAATGAGAAAATTGCTAATTCAGTGTACTTTTCATTTTATTATAATTATACTTATTTGTTCAGAAAAGTTGTTAAAAGAAGTATAGTAACCTAATACAATATATCAATTTACCATTTTCACAAAGAAAGTTACAAATTTTTATTTTCTATTCAAATGAGAACTGCGAAAAAATGGGTATGATTTGTTTAGATTTTGAACAGTTTTTTCGCAGTTCTCATTTGAATAGAAAATAAAAATTTGTAACTTTCTTTGTGAAAATAGTAAATTGATATATTGTATTAGGTTACTATACTTCTTTTAACAACTTTTCTGAACAAATAAGTATAATTATAATAAAATGAAAAGTTCACTGAATTAGCAATTTTCTCATTTTTTTCGCACTTCTCATTTGGGTAGAAAATAAAAATTTTTCGTTTTCTTTGTGAAAATGGTAAATTTAAATATTAGACTAGGTAACTATACTTTATTGAACTAATTATGTGAACAAATAAGTATAATTATAATGAAATAAAAAGTACACTGAAATATGAATTTTTTCAAGGTTACGAAAAATTTAGGCATTCGAGTATATCTGAGGCACGGACGTTGAGGACCTAGGTGGGAGAAAGTGAGAGAAGGGGTAAAATTTCAGAATTTTACCCTTTCCAAGATGTGACCGCCCAATGGCTCAACATTCTTCTCCCACCTAGGCGCTCAACGTCCGTGCCTCAGATATACTCAAATGGTTTTTTTTTCGAAACCTTCAAAAAATCGCTAATTCAGTGCACTTTTCATTTCATTATAATTGTACTTATTTTTTCATATAATTAGTTAAATAAAGTATAGTAACCAACTTTAATACATTAATTTACCATTTTCATAAAGAAAACGACAAATTATATTACGTCGTCTCGTTCTCCTAGATCAATTATGTAGTCATACCCTACCTGCTCGATCTGATCACAGTTTTTAAAGCATATTCCAATAAATTTTTTAAAAAATTTGAATCCGGCGCCTCCGCTAGGCTGCGCCACAATCGCATCCGTTGACGCCAGCTCCGCGTATCCTGTTTCCCATTATATTTTTCTGTGCGATCTGAACAACATCGTTCCGCGT